GTGTGAAAGGCCTTCTCAGACTTTCAGCTTGAGAGAGGAAGGGAATGTCTAGACTACAGAAGCATGTCTTATACCCACTTGTTCTTCCTCATTTGTTTGTTGTTTCACCTAAAACATTCCCTTACCCCCCATTTGCGCATTGTCTCCAGCCTTCCACGCAGACTAAATTACACAGATTCCCCTGCCACATAGTCCCTTCACAATCACTGTGGCCAGAAACAGATTGTTTCCTGTCCCAGCCATTCAAGTTACTGTGCATTTCTTCTAAGACTACATTATTACTAGCAAAAGGAAAAAGAATAGTTCAGAAGCATCCATAATATTTAATATATTTTTCATCTATGTCACTTTTTGCCACTCCCTTAACTAAGGCTGAACAAGTGGATCAAGAACATTAGTGTCACTTCAGCATTTGCAGTTTCAGGACAGTAAGACTCCAGTGCAGAGCATTTACATCCATTTCAGAACGTCCATCTCATTTTCAAATGCTTCCTTTCAAGGCAAGGCAATATTCACATCTCTGTTTTCACAATGAATAGGAACCACATAAGTAGGGTGTACAGTTCAAAGTATTACAGTTATGCATCAGCACAGGGAGTATCCCATCACCTCCTTCCAAAGGACCAAGTCTAGAGCTTCAGCGAGACCACTGCTGCTTTTTTTAGGTAAGTCAGTAAAGGTGTCTTGAATTATGAACATAATCATTTCTGGTCCTGCTCACATTGGCTTGAATTTCACCAATTACTAAGTAGGAGACACCTTTGCCGACAAAATAATGTCTCCTTTAATTTGTAATTTTTCTTAGTGTATATATATATTCATTACCTTATTTTCTTTTTCAGTTAAATATTTCTTTTCCTTTCAGTTAACAGCTAAGGCAGTAAGCAGGAACATCAAACTCTTATACTTGCAAGTGCTGCAATTCAGTTTACCACATGATTATTAGAGAACAAAAACTGTGTAAACCTAGAAGGTTGAGTCTGATGTAGAACAGAAAACCACAGATATATATTTACATCCTTTAAGATAACAACCTCCACAGATAGATAGGTAGTGTGCTGTTCAAATGAGAGCAACACTCTGTTGTTCTGGTTTCAAAAATGGTTACTTACCAACCTGCAGTCTGCAGCAAGAGACACACAGCATGGTTGCAAGACCAAAAAAATTCATGGTAAACAGAACGCTTGGAACAGTCTTGCGAGCAAGTTTGTGAACTCCTTTCTCACTTGAAATGAGAGAAGCAGAAGTTAACCAAATATAATATATAGAGTTTCGTGTCCAAAGGTAGAATTTAGAGAACTGTAACATGTCTGTTTGGAAAGGCATTAGAAGAGATACTAAAGCTTTATTATTTTAATTAATAGACTGGGCCACTGACACATAGAGGAAAATCTAATTTCATTCATTCAAATGTAAAGTTATGCTCCATTTTTGTCACAAACTGAAGATTTAGACTGATCTGAAAACAGTTGCCCCTTGACTTTTCTTCTATATGGTTTCCAGTTTCTAGTGGTCTTTAAGTAGCCTACTGTCAAAAATAAATGAAATTTGACAGTACCGAAGCAAGAGTCATTCCTGTGACCACACTGGAACAGTCACTGCCAGACAAACAAGCTGTCAGTATATTATATTCATACTTCTACTGAAGAAACTGTTCAGGGTTTCTTGATTGTAGTTATTTAATGTGTAAGTCTAAAAAGAACAAAGTTATCCATTTGGTATCTCAAAATTCATAGCTCAGCTCCTTCCTTGAAATCCTGTTGGCCAGGTGTCCTAGTAACTGTATTCCACATGAATCAAAGATTAGAAAAACAATAAACCAAGCAGCACTAACATTTGTTGAGAACATAAAGGAATCTTACGAGACTCAGTTTCATTACCTCAATTTGATTAGCCGTGCAATAACTTTCATACTTGGGTTACTATATTATTATTATTAGCTGAGAGTACCAAATGGACAAATTTGTAGACAGAAAGATGCAGTAATAAATAGACAAATATACTGGCCAGCATGAACTGCTTCTGTCGATGTCCTCCTCCCTCCTGAAACAGCCATTTCCTGCAATACTTACCAGTGACACCATACTCAGAACCCTGTAACTGGACGACCTCTGCATTAGCTACATGACTCTAAACACACTCAGACAATCTTGAGAGAATACAATAAATATATTAATGCTTGTTTTTAAGCAAAGTTTTCCAATGATCACTCATCCACAAGTTTTTAAATAAAAGTTTATTACAGAAATTACTTTGGAAAAAAAACCCAACCAAACAAAAAAACCCACAACAGTATCGTTGTAATTAAAAAAAAAAAAATATTGTATTCATGCCCTATAGGGTGATCTGAAGAAATGCTACAGGGATTTCTTTCGCTGTCATTGTGAGTGACTTCCTGGCATGGATTAACTCACATCTGCATCACAAGGATTAAGAATGAACACAGTCCCTCTCCATGCTTCTCTCCAGAAAGTGCTGCATATTAAAATATTGCAGACTAACTCCAGTTCTGTTCATTCTGCAGTATTGGAACCAGTGTCTAGGAGAGAAAAAACGAAGTGTGAGTAATACATACACCCACTACAGTTGAGTATAAATTAAAGAGAACTAATACCCACTCTCTAATACGCTCCCCCAGCTCAAAAGCATTCCCCAAGCATTTCAGGACATGTTCTATACCTACCCACTTCCCTCCACTGCTACTGATGTGGTGCACGAGCTGCCTGTGCTCTTTCATTTCAGTTAGCAACGTTCAGTTAGCCAGCACAAAACTTCAAGGTTGTGGACACACATCATTTGCTATTAAGGCATTAAAAATACAAGAAGCTTTGCTCTGACTTGTAGTGATACACAATTTTACTGCAGAAGGCCACAAGCACATCTGGCTAAATCACATGACTTATGGAAGAGATAGGGGTTTACACATCCAGAAGCATAAGCTCCTATGGGGTGTGGGTTATAGTTTATTATGCATCTTGAAATAGATGCAGGAATGAGCATGATCCTCATAAAATAACTGAGAGCAATTCTCTGTTCTGAACTTTAGTCAGAAGCACCAATTAACAGCAGTGCAACTTCTGATATTACTGTCATCACTGCTTTCTTGTTCTTAGAGCTGTGGGGAAAAATACATGACACGTGGAGAAAGACAAGTCAGTGTTTACTAGGTACCTTTAGCAAGTCAACTCCTTGTGGGCAAAAAAAAGGCTGTAATGTTAACAGCAACTTTAAGACACCCCGTTCTTTAAATCTTATCTGCACACTTTATCAAGAGTGAAAACTGTTAATACTTGGAAAGTAAGGTCTCCTCTACTAGCCATAATAGACAGACAAAAAATAAACAGAGTAAGATTATATGCTTGGCTAATACCAGAAGCTGAGCAAACAATAAGTTCTGTCAATTCTTTAGAACTATGACTTGTAGTCATGCCAGGATCAGGAAGCCATGAAGAACCTGTTTCAGAGGGCTAGAGTATATTTAAATAAAGCCCTTTCCATTCTCAGTTCTTCCTTTCCATGTCACTCCCCAGGGGTGTGACAGCACTTCCCACATCTTCAGCAGTACTCTGCCACAGGGATGGTTTTCAAAGTTGTAAACCAGCTTGCCACAAAAGTGTTTACTTTTTCTGGTAAGGAATTTCAAGGAACACCGACAAAAGTAATCCAGTCAGGCAGATATGGAACATAAACTCCCATAAGCAGTGTACGTACAGAGGGCCTGTTGAGCAATATATAAACATTTTAATATTATTTGCAAATCCTAGCATAAACTTGCCACGTCCCCTACGATCAAATCCAGCAGACTTGGATTGCTTTGTTTTCTCTGACAAGTGGCTGCTCAGACTGATTGAGGCACTCCTTGAATTCAATGAAACATGGTGCTTTTCTAACAACCAGGTTAATACAAGAAAAACCTCCCTACAGAAATTCAATGAAGATTACCTCCTACTTTCTAATTGCTCCAGTAGTATGTGCTTCCCAACACCAGGTCTGCAGCACTCTCCAACACATTCCTGTTTCAGTGCTTAAGAGTCAAGGAGCATTTAGCTTGGTTTTGTTGCATTTATCATATGTAAAAGGGAGTGCAGAGCACTACTTTTGTCTGAATAATACAATCAACCTAGCTTTTATCACATTTGGTCAAAGCTTTCTATAAATGATCAAGTCTTGCGTGTCAGTTTATTTATGTCATATTCCATACTTACTTTTTCCATCACATGCTACAATTTTCACTTTATCCACTTTCACAAGTTCAGTGACCTCCCTAAATTCAACATCATTCAGTACAAATGTCCATACGTTGTCACAGAACCTGTATGTGTTCAGAGACCCCTTTAAAGAGACAAGAGACATTTTCTATAGGATGCATCCCAAAAGTAACAGGAAATACGATGTTTACTGAATCCCATCCCTTCTACCACTAGGTTTGCCATAAAGCCAGCCGTGAACCTGAACTCCGAGGAGAACTGCCCTCCAGTGGCTGAAATTTTCAAGAGCGTGTATGTGTTCCAAGACCATTGTGGTTTATGCAAGGGGAAGCTTCATGGGTTCGTTAAAGAGTTTTATAACTTTTCTAATGTGTATAAAGGGTCAGAATCAGACAGGATTTCTTAAAACGCTGGCCACAAGAAAATCAGTTAAATCAGTGATCGTAACAAGATGTGAATTCTGCAGTTGTTCAAAAAGTCATGACAGAATCGACCTATGTGACATAAGGGGGTTAGAAAAAAGTAGTTATGCTCTTTTTGACATATTTCTGGGGTTTAAAAATCTTTAGAGCTCACTTCACCAATGTATTCTGCATCCACTGCAGAGGAAGTATTAGGGCATAATCTAACAGGACAATTGTTTTGGGTTTTTTCCTTTCAATTACAATCAAGTTGACATTTAACAATGTGCTGGCTATCTGGCATTCATTAGGGTGGCTGGCTGAGAATAAAAAAAACCACCTTATTTTTCTGTGATACCTACAGAAAATAGCTACAAAATGACCCAGTGTCTTGCATAAGGGCAGATGTACAACTCTCTAGTCTCTCTGCATTCCAGATGTGGCTGAAAATCTGGCCTCATATCACTTCTGCTAGGTCTAAGAGAAGCAAGTCTCTCCCCACCTGCAAAACACTAAGAAAGGCAGTGCTAGGATCTCCCTCTTCCCCTGTTTTCATCCACCCACCAAATCTCTCCCTAGTTTTTGCATTCATTTGAAAGATCAAATGCAGAGTAAGAAGGTAACAAGCCTCACAACTGAATACAGAATAAACCTGTCAGCACTCACTGTATTTCAGAGTCAAAATGCGCCTTAGTTTGTTCTTGGAGCACTCAGCTTTTAATGGCATTCTGCACCAACGCTTGGTTACTGCACCCCATGAAGGACTTTTATATAGTGTTACCTTACCCTGAAGTTGACCCTGTTCCTGACGCGCTGTGCTAGTGCCGAGTTGATAGCTTTATCAAACTGAAGCAGCACCTGAAGCGCCAGCTGAGGAGTGATCTGCTGGGACTGAAGGAGTTGAGAAAACAGGTCTGAGTTCCTTCAAAGTAAACTCAAAAAAGCTGTAAGAACTCCCATGCATCAGATCTCTAGCAGGACAATCTACACAAGAATTATTTTACTGCCTTTTCCTTATTTTAACTCTGAGAAACGGAATTAGGTGCTAACGTGATTTTTGTGCTACACGAAGAATTCATCTGGTAAATACCAACTGCAACCGACTAGAGCAGGACATCAGTGACAGAGCTCTGGATTAACCTGGCTATTTGTTCACTGGGCACCACAAGAGGAGGTTATGTTCCTATGGAAAACGTTCTCCTTCATGTAGGATGTTAAGAAGAAGAGTTCTCAGGAAAACTAAGTACCAAAGGCTTCTGATTGCAACCAAGTAATTCATCTGGTAAATACCAACTGCAACCGACTAGAGCAGGACATCAGTGACAGAGCTCTGGATTAACCTGGCTATTTGTTCACTGGGCACCACAAGAGGAGGTTATGTTCCTATGGAAAACGTTCTCCTTCATGTAGGATGTTAAGAAGAAGAGTTCTCAGGAAAACTAAGTACCAAAGGCTTCTGATTGCAACCAAGTCTTGCAGCCGTTGGCCGTAAGTACCCAACACTCCCCAACACGCCAGCCACAAAGCTGTCTGAGTAACAGTCTCTCCATTAAGCTGACTGCAGCCCGGCCCCCCCCGCACCTGTATGAGCTCATCCAGGCTCTCCTGCAGGCTGTTCCCCAGCGTGGTGTTCCTGTACAGCTGATAGGCCATGGCTCACCGGGACGGGACGGGACGGGACGGGGCGGGACAGGCACCCTCCTCACCATCCACTGCTCGCGTGTCCTCGCTCTCATTTAAAACAGAACAAAATAACACTATAAAAACCCCCTCTAAAGACGACAGAGACCAAACGTACATTGCACGGCGAGAGCAAGCACCATTAAAAGACCGCTCTGCAAGCCCCCACTCACAGTACGAGCGCCCAGAGCACCAACAACGAGCAGGAGACCGGGAACGCAGCACACGGAGGGAGGAGGAAGGAGGCGGCCCCCTCCCT